TTATCGCATGTCGAAGGAGGAGCTCGTGGTTCTTCGCGCGCAACTCGACGATTTACCGGCCGATCTCTCACGAGATCATACTTGAGGCCGGCGCCGTGCCATCTAAGGGATACATTTATCGCATGTCGGAGGAGGAGCTCGTGGTTCTCCGCGCGCAACTCGACGATTTACTTGACAAGGGTTGGATCCGCCCTAGCAGCTCACCTTATGGTGCGCCCGTGCTCTTCGTTTGGAAGAAGAACAAGGACCTTCGACTTTGCATTGACTATATCGAAGCCTCAACTCCCAAACCATCAAGAACGTGGGGCCTCTACCTCGCATTGACGATTTGCTTGAGCGTCTGGGCGGCGCTAAGTATTTTTCAAAATTGGACCTCAAGTCGGGCTATCATCAGATTTCCATCTGCCCGCAAGATCGGTACAAAACCGCGTTTAAGACGCGATATGGRCATTTTGAGTGGGTMGTTATGYCTTTTGGCCTCACYAATGSCCCGACCACCTTTCMGGCGGCCATGACCACCGAGTTTCRCGCTATGTTGGACCGATTTGTCTTGGTCKACTTAGACGACATCCTCGTCTATAGCCGAACTCTCGAGGAGCATCTCGAGCACCTTCGCCGTGTTCTAGAGACTCTTCGGTCAGCCCGGTACAAAGCCAACCGCGATAAATGCGAGTTTATCCAGCAAGAGCTTGAAAACTTGGGTCATCTAGTATCTTCATAAGGCATTCGTCCGTTGGCGGGCAAGATTCAAGTCATCCAGGAGTGGCCCGAGCCAAAGAATGTAACGGACGTCCGATCCTTCCTCGGCTTGGCCGGTTATTATCAGCGCTTTATCAAGGGTTACTCGAAGATCGCGGCCAACCTAAGCACGTTACAAAGCGAGGAGCGGCTTTTTTACTTCGACGACGATGCGCGCCATTCTTTTGAAACATTCAAAACGACACTATTGTCCGCCGAAGTGTTACACATTTACAACCCACTCCTAGCTACGCTCATCACCACCGATGCATCTGGCTATGGCATTGGGGCCGTCCTTGAGCAGCACAATGGCACAGACTGGCACCCGGTCAAGTACTTTAGCAAGAAAGTGCCCCCCGTGCATTCGATCGACGACGCACGRAAGAAGGAGCTTCTTGCCTTTGTCCACGCCCTCAAGCGTGGGGGGCATTTCCTCCTTGGTCGGCAAGCATTCCGATGGGTAACAGATAATAATCCGTTGGTATTCACAAGACACGATTAATAGTACCATTGCCCGTTGGATGACTTTCGTCGACCAGTTTGACTTTTTTCCCGATCACATTCCTGGGAAGTCAAACCGTTTTGCGGACGCCCTCTCACGGCGACCGGATCTTTGCACCGCAGTCTACTCTACCTTCGAGATCGACGGCGACTTGCGGGAGAGCTTCATCCGCAGCTATTAAGACGACCCCCACTTTCGCGACAAGTACGCGAATTGCTCCTCTCCGAATCCGGTGCCTTCACATTATCGGATCCAAGAGGACTACTTGCTTGTGCATTCAAGGGGAAAGGATCTTCTTTGTGTGCCAAGTGACTCACACGCACACGGCTTCTTGGTGAATTTGACGATGCACCCGCCTCCGGACATTTTGGTGTCAACCGTACACTTGGCCGACTTCACCAGCGGTTCTATTGGCCCGACCTTCTCAAGGATGCCACCCGCTATTGTGAGTCATGTGAAGTTTGTCGGCGTTGCAAGTCACGCAACCATCGTCCGTTCGGCGAGCTACACCCACTACAAGTTCCCCTTGGGCGACGGGAAGCAATTGCCATGGATATCACCGGCCCCTTCCCGAAGCACAAGACCGGCGTTGATGGGATTCTCATGGTCGTTGACCGCCTCACCAAGTACGCCATGTTTTTGCCTTATCGCTATCATGCGAAGGCACCGGAGTTGGCCGAGGTCTTATATGCCGGTTGGATTCGCTCCAAGGGCTACCCCAAGGAGATCGTTTGCGACCGGGACACTCGCTTTCTCTCCGACTTTTGGGTCGCCGTCGTCAAGCAATGGGGCTTATCCTTGAAGTCGAGTTCAGCTCGCCACCCGCAAACCGATGGCCAAACGGAAAGGGAGCCCCAAACCGCTCAAGTCCTTCTGCGCACTCTCATTCGTCCCAACCAAATTGATTGGGTTGAGCGCTTGCCGGACGTTGAGTTGGCTTACAACTCATCGATCCACCCGGCTATCGGAATGTCGCCGTTCGAGTTTGAGCACGGCTCGCCCATCTCATCGCCGCTGGACGCCATTTTGCCGCGCACAGCCGAGAGCGACGACCATCTTGCTTTCCTTCGTCGCATGCAAGAGCTCCTTGTCAAGGTATGGGATCAGATGTCGAAGACGCAAATACGGATGAGCCGTCAAGCCAACTGCAATCGTCTCCCTTGCCCGTTCCGAGCCGACGACCTGGTTTGGGTCTTCGCCGCAGAGTTCAGCCTTGAGCAAGACATCTCTCGCAAGCTCCTTCCCAAGTGGATAGAGCCTTGGCGTATTTATTCTGCAATTGGTGATGATCCCGAGGGGCCTTCATTTCGCATCGAAGTGCCACCTCACTTGCCCGTCCACCCGGTGTTCCACTGTTCCAAACTTGCTGCTTTTGCTTCCGCGGAGTCCGACGAGTTCCCCGGCCGACGTACGCAAGACCCTCCCTCCATGGACGGATTTCAGGAGGCCGGCTACATCATCACCCAGCGGCGCCATGGCAACAAGGAGACGAAGTTTCTACTTCACTTTTCTTACTGCAGCCACAAGGCTGACCGTTGGCTGATGCGTTCGGAACTGCAGGCCACAGCCCCCGCCGTTCTCTCACGTTATCTAAGCAAGGAGAAGACGACGCCGAGCACTCCAGCTCCCCGCCATCCTCGCTTCATTCCGCCATCGGATCGGCAGCTTCGCAAGCGCCCCGGCTCGTCTTCATAAGGAGGGGGGCGTGTTACATGCTGAGAGCCTACACACAGGCCCCCTCACGGGACCCGAGGTTGGAAGAAGGGCCCCCAGGTCGCGTCACAGCAACATGAAGGCCCTACGACATTTTTACTTGGGCCTGCATATGAAAAACGCCAGCTTTAGTTTATTTTTATTTTTTTTATTTATTGCTGTTGTTTTTCTAACGTGTGTGCTGTTGTCCGTTTTGCCCAGGTACGGCCAGGCCACTTGGACCAAGAGGCAGGGCCTCCCGGGGAAACGTTTCAGGGCCAGATTCAGACCCAGAGGCTGAGCCTCTAAAAACGTTTGGACCTTTTTTGTTTTCGAACAGACTTTGGACCTGTTCGGACCTGGGCCGACGTTTAGGCCTGATGCATTCGCACAGGACCTGTTTCGGACCAGGTACCGAACAGGCCCAGTCCTAGACAGGGCCTGGACGTCCGGCGGGGACCCAGGCAGGCCGTTTTTGAGGCGAAGGACTGAACCACATTTCGGGCCTGGGATCTGAACCGTGGATCGGAGGTTCGATATGCACGGTCCAGGTCGAAGGTCGTGGACTCTCTGGTCCGGCCTAGCACTATATAAGCTGGGCCAGCTCCCAGTTCTGGACAGAGGAACGGAGAGGAAACCCAGCGTTACGCTGGTTCAAGGATTCACCTGCTGCGCTATTTCAAGACTGCCTGCTGCGCTATTTTTCGGCATTGCAGCGCTGGAGGAGTCCAGCGCTAGAGGAGGTTAGCGGAGTTAGGACAGAGAGAGAGAGAGAGAGAGTGAAGGAGGACTTACCTGCCGCAACTTACCAGCGCCATAGCTGGGCTCCCCGCGGTACCTGCAGTCAGCACCCAGGTGAGCCAGGTCAGAAAGCGCCTAGCTTTCTTCTTCTTTCCTCTTCTTCTCCTACTCCTCCAGACCTTCGTCTTTCTTCTTCTTCTTCTTCTTCTTCTTCTTCATCAGAGTAGAGATAGAGGTACTTGCAGACATTGTTCTGGACACGTCGTTCTTGTGTCCTATGCTTACTTAAGACTTCCGTTGTGCTGCTTCCCAGCCTATGATGATGATGATGTGAATGCATTGTTGCTGTTTTCTCGTTATTTTATTCTCTGCATTGTGCACATGGTCATTTTGGGAATGCTGCACCAATGCTGCTGGTTGTTGTTACTTTCATCATTGCTAGATCCTAGGCTTCCGTACATTTCACTTCCTGATATGCTACACAGAGAGAGAGAGAGATAGAGAGAGAGAGAGCTCCAGTACACTATTCTACATGCATTTGGAATTATTCTGAGCCCCATAGTACCCATACATTGGAAATGTTGGCCCAGAAATCGTCCAAATGCATGTGTGTTGTGTAGTGGAGTGAGGGGCTCTGTCAGAGGCAGTTGATGTCAACTTTGTTGTGTTCCTTCTGCTCGGCCTCCAGTTCCCGACACATGTGCCACTACGTGAGTGATACAGGCCTACCTGCTGCGCACTTGCTTTTTCTCCCGCTTCCTGTCGACCGACAACCCTCCCCGCTACTTGAGTGTTTCTCCCGCTGGGCACAGGTAGTACCGGCCCTGCAGGCCTCACCACACACAAGTGCCCTCTACTGTTGAGCCACACACAGGCATAAAAAGATGTGCGCTCAGACAGCCAGCATGCACACACATACACATGCAATGACTTGCTGATTTCTGCTGCCGAGTTTGTCTGTGAGGCTGTACACTAACCGTAGGGTTAGATTCGCAATTTTGTTTGGCTGAGGGCTAACCGAATGACTTGCCTGTTGGGAAATTCGCAAGGGACAGACCTGTAATTCTGAGGGACTACAGGCCCTAAACTAACCGAATCCCTACTACTACCCTAACTGCCTATAGCAGGCCCGGGCTACCCTAGGACAGACAGGCCCTAAGCGGCCTCTACTCGTATACGGTCCTATAGCCTATAGCCGGGTCCGGTAGAGGCCGAGAGGCCGAGAAACAGCAACGGTACCGGTAGGTCCAGTCAGTCCGGTTTTGGTCTAGGCTAGTGTAGGAATCTATAAGGCTAGGAAGGAAACTGATAGGGGGACTTTTGGCTTTCATTTTTCACATGCAGCGTTGGTGGCCAACCAAGTTGAGCAGCGCTGAATGTCTGCAGTGGCACCGGAGACATCAGCSGTGAGTGGAGCASCCATAGCCCGCCAYCTGAGACAGCCATAGCTGGGGCTGTACTCAGCGCATCTATCCCCTGGGGGATATCTGCGTTGRCAGGACTATCTGGGAGGTCTTCACAGAGTACATGTGGGTACTGCTGCTGCGGTAGCAGCCAGGCAGCCATAGCTGTCTTCTTCATCGTCAGAGTGACTCATCGGCACTGGAGGCTACTTTGATATTCATGATGTGCATCTGTGTTACATACTTCAATGAGTATCGGCAGAACCAAAGATCAACCAATATAGGATGAGCATTTATGCAGCGGAAGTCTGATAACGAACTGACTCACATAGACTGACCTACATGGCATCACTCCACACACATACAATCATGAGATGGTGGGGTCTGGGTCATTCACAGACGATACCCAGATCCCGTACACACATACACAGATGAAAGGTGGGAGGAGAGACGAAGGAGGTAGGAGGTAGATCACACCGATAGGTCACAAGATAGAGTCTGGTAGGTATGTCATATAACAAGATCAAAATGTCGAGGACCAAAGGTCACCAATGTCGGAGATAACCGAGTCCAGATGTAACCGGTGTCCAACTGTGATGCAGCCGAGTATCAACCTCAACAATCTCCAAGTCTCCAATCAGGTAAGTACCACAGTCTCGTATCAC